CTGCTTGACATGTTGGGCAGGACTGGACATACGCCCTTGTTAACTTTTGCAGTTCAGGAAAATAGACTGCCTCGCGTACGCGTTGGATAGGTTTTTCGAATACCAGCATGAGAAGCTAAAGGGCTGTCATGGAGCTCCTGCAGGATATTTAATCTAAGACTAGCTGGGATAACAGGTCGAAATTCGTTGTTGGAATTCGTAGTTTTTGTATAAATAATAGACCATCTATTAGTTCGTAATGGGCCGCCCTATTTCTTATCGCCACAATATCTTGGTGGCTAAAATTTTCAGGATCCTTTAAATACTCATAAATGCTTCCAAACTCAGGATCCTTACCCAGTTCGGTTATTACAGTTTCTCGGGAATTTATTGTACATGCTGTGAGCATTGCCACCTTTACAGTATTACCTTCTTCATCTATTTTAATTCTGGATAGGGCATCTGCTACGATATTTTCCTTTCCGGGGGTATGCTTGATTACCAGATTATATTCTTGTAGCTTGAGTGCCCATCTTATTAACCTTGGGGATAAGTTTTTCCCTGAGTACAATCTAGTTACCGCCGCATGATCAGAGTACACTGTTATTGGCGCCTTTCCAAAATAGACTCGGAACTTTTGCACTGCTAACAGAACTGCAAGTGCCTCTCTCTCGGTCGCGGAATAGTTTCTTTGTGTTTGATTTAAAGTTCGGCTAAAAAATGCCACGGGCTGCTGATTTTGCGAAAGTACCGCTCCTACCGCATAATCCGAAGCATCCGCTGAAATTTCTAAATTCTCATCCTTTTCAGGAAATTTCAACACAGGGGCTTGCGTTAATGCTTGTTTTAATTTTTCGAAAGCACTATTGGCTTCGGCCGTCCACGAGAATCTTGCCTTTTTCCTTTTTAATTTTAACAATGGTTCAGCAATAGCTGCAAAATCTTTTATAAAGGACCTATAATATGAACAAAGTCCTAGAAAAGAAGAGAGCTTCTTCGCCGTGTTTGGAGTCGGATACTTTTGTACAGCGATTATTTTTGATTCGTCTGTCTCTATTCCTTTCTGAGATATTTTGTAACCTAAATATTTTAATTCAGGGGCTGCAAATTTGCACTTTTCGACATTAACTTTTAGACCGGCCTCATTTAATAAAGAAAACACCTGTCTTAAATCCTGTACATGTTGGTCGAGATTATCACTAGTAATAATGATATCCGTCTAAATAGATAAATGTGGACTTTCCAAGAACAGGCCTTAACACAATGTCCATACATCGCTGAAATGTTGCCGGTGCCCCTGAAAGGCCAAACGGCATACGCAGAAATGCATAAGTGCCAGACTTGGTTATAAAAGCAGTCTTAGGCACGTCCTCAGGCCTAACCCCTATTTGAAAATAACCAGTCGTTAAGTCTAAAGTCGTCATATATTTGGTGGATGTTATGTTCCTTAGAATTTCTTCAATAATAGGTAACGGATATACCGGATATTTAGTTATGGAGTTTAATTTACGGTAGTCAATTGCGAATCTCCACCTTTTTGGATGTGTCAATGGATAGTCATTATTTTTCTTACATAAAACCACCGGGCTAGCATAACTACTTGAGATGGGCGTTATGATCTTTTTACGTAGCATATCGGTGATATGCCATTCTATAATTTTTTCCTTATTCTTATCATACCGGTATGCTTTGTGGCGAACTGGCATTGAATCTCCGGTGTCAATACTATGGTTAGTAACCTGAGTAAATCCTGGAATATCACTATAAATAAGAAAATTTACCTTTCCTCTCGTTCTTTTATTTTCAAAATTTTTTTTTCCTTTTCATATTAGTACGAAGAGGACTTTGATTTAAAGTGTGGACTTAATAAAATAAATTCTATACTAGAATAGAAATTATGGTTTGTACAGTACATTGACTCAATTCGGTGTGTGTGGTGTATTGAGAATACGGCAAAGTACACTAGGTCTATCTGCCTAAGACGAGGGATGCCTCCGTGGAGGACATTTTTAAGGGAAACTGGCTCGTATACACGTTACACATGGGGAAAACCACGAAAACGCCCATGCAGCCAGCCCGTTCGCGGGATTCGAACCTCGGACCGAACTACCAGTGTTCAGCGATTTTACCGCTCGGCCGCTGGTGGGCCCTGACTCCATTCGGATAAGCAAAAATTCGAATAATTGGATTTTTTCCGAAGAAAGGATCTACGTACACTTTAATTAATTACTGTATGTACTGTATGTTGACAATGGGAGAAAAAAACTATTTTTAAAGAAAGATTTTAACTAATTAAAACGAAAAAGCAACACTTTTACTTACATGTTATATAACGTACTGTACAGTATTTACAAGTACTGAAAGTCATTGCTTGCTGAACAGCTTGGTCAAAGTAAGCTGTTTGACCGTTTTCGGGTAGCCAAGTCGCGCATCCATTTGACAATGAGAAGTTGCATGCGGTTACACTCGGGCTGACGCTCCATCCGCTTCAACGCAGTTTCAAGGCCGGCAAACTTTTCACTAGCAGACGGTTCCGTATCTGCTTCAACTTTGAAATTAAGGTCATCTTCTTCCTCTGCACATTCTTCTCTCACATTTTTAATTAGCCCATCATCATTTAGAATTTGAAACCCAGGGTCTGACGAATCACACATCATCCATTCTGCTGTATACTCTCCATTAACTTATGAACATCCAGGAATTTTCAAAAGAATGTTTCTTAATTTCTTAAGTGACATATCATCCTCATCTTTTCCTGTTTATTTCCTTTCCTTTCCTTGAGCTTCTTTTTCCTATTCCTTCTCGGGCTCACCAGCGGCCGAGCGGTAAAGCAGCTGAACACTGGTAGTTCGGTCCGAGGTTCGAATCCCGCGAACGGGCTGGCTGCATGGGCGTTTTCGGGGTTTTCCCCATGTGTAACGTGTATACGAGCCAGTTTCCCTTAGAAAGTCCTCCACGAAGGCATCCCTCCCCTTAGGCAGATAACCATAGTGTGCTTTGCCATAAATAAATACACCATACACACCTATTCCTTCTCCTTCTTCTGATTATGAAAAGTTCTGAAAGCGATTCGGGTAATCAGCGATTCGGATAGTCAGAGTTCGGATAATTTGAATTGTACTGTATATAGCTTCTATGTGTCATTAAGATTAAAAATGACTATATTTATTTTCGTAGGTCACATTTCCATTTTCGGTGGTTAGCTTGCTTCTTTGCTTTTTGGCAGAAGTGCGGAAATTGCGAAAATGCCTTTAAGTTGCCACATGATTATTATGTGTTATTTCAAATAATAAATGCTGAAAAATTAAATTACATTCTACATTTGAATTCTTGAATTATAAGCAACATATATAAGAGTCAATTAGTGTTTTCAAACTTCATGTTTTGCGCTTGGAAACAAATGTTTGTCAATCTATTCTTTTAATTTAGTACTCGCTTTTTCTACTGATTTGTACCACTTTTACTTTCTTGGCGGATGGGAACGGAAACTTCACAAAAAGCTAAATAAGTCTTTTTTCCAGGATATTGAGAAGCCACTTATTTGTTCTAATCAAAATTATTTTTATTTGCATTGGAAGAGTCAAATTCTTTTTAAGACTACTTACTGCGCATCGTTTTCTTTTTTCCATCTTCAATGATAATTCCATATGGATAAGAAGAGAACCATTTTGCACATATTTTCTTTCCCGCAGTATCTGATTTATATCTTGATTGAGCCCAACTTCAATGGCAAAAACCCTCTCCTTAATATGACTAGAAAGGCTATCATATTAACGCTGCTATATTTCCAGTCTCACATGATAACAGAAGCAATAATACTATTGTTAAGAATAAGCCTTAAAAATAATCTACATAAATCAAATGTATATAAGCATACCAGGAAACAGTATTCGCATTTTCAAGAAACGGTTAAATACCTAAAAGCAGAAAGTAAAATGAATTGAACTGGTAGTGGAACTAAATCCTGTAATTGCAATATAAAATTTCAACTAGATAAAATGATTTAGAATCAAAATTGCAGGTGAGTTCAAAATGGATAAAAGTGGATGTGCAGTTCTTAAATGTGGATTCGCTTATACAAATGCCTCGACTGAATTTAGTTCGAATAAACTTATAAAATTATAGCTAAATTTAAGTTACTTTGTTGGCTAGATTTTTAGTTGAATTGAAGCGACTATTCGCTAAGTTCATACTGTATCAAAAGCAATACGTACAAAGTTTGAAGAGACCCTTTTATTCAACTTAAGAAAGAATTTACCGTCGGCGCTCCTGGTGCTTACAAAACTTGTAGAGACATTAGGTACTTTTGGATGAAAAGTGAGCAATCGCCTTTGCCGGGAATCGAACCACGAATCTCTGGAATACGCGCCCAGCGTGCAGACCACCCCACCACGAAAGCATCCCAAGAAGTCGGAAGAAATACCTTATAAACTAAGTCAATACTTTTGAATGTAAATCAAAACAGAAATATAAAATTAAAAATTAATAATCAGCCGCAGCTGCACAGAAATGATTACGCAATCTGGCTCCTAGCATAACCACCGACATTGAGAAACTGACAATTCATAGGCACTCCCGTAAAATAGCAAGCTTTAGATATCAGAGAAACAACATGGCCGACAACAGAACACGCTTTGTCTGAAGAAACTGAGACACCAGCATATAACTTTTAAGGAAATAATGGAATCTGTCTCGTTCAGTCAGCGCGATTACGTTTTTCAATTCCCTTGAATACAGAATAGTATCTTAAAGGCACACCAGGATTTTAAATGCAGTAATACATCAATTCTTCAAAATAATTGACTGTTCAAAATTACATCGTGAAATAAAGGCTTTAGAAAACTGTTCAGAACCTCAACATACGCTTACTGATTATTTTGGTAACACCATTCATCGAAAATACTGAAAATTTAATATATAAAGTATATAACTCTTTACGGGATGCTAAAATAATTCAAAATAACCTTTTTAAGCTAAGTATTTTTTACATAAAATTTATACATTTGTTTGTTTTACTGTAGATAGTCAACTAGATGATCTGGACGCCGATCATTCCCATTACAAACCGGAAGCCATTGATACTTTATGCCAGCTGACAAAATTCAATAAAAGGGAACTACAGCTCATGTACAGAGGTTTTAAACAGGTAAATATTTTCAAGTGTTTACTTAATGCATGTTTAATTTATATAACTGCGGTAACTGCTGAAAGAAATCGAAACAATTCCTCTTTTTTTTTTTTTTTTTTTTTCTTTCATGTAACTGAATTTTGTACGCGAAAAGTGTTTGAAATGTCATATAGAAATACACAGCACACTATTAGTCGTCTCTTCATGAGAGTCTGCTTAATTGAGCTATTTCTACTTAACAGCTAATTTTCTTCCAAATAGTACCCTTTTTAGTAATTTTTGTGGAAACTTATGACTTTTACAGCTTTAAATTATTAAATATACCTTTGCAGAATCTAACAGTCAGAAACTTTACAGCTGATTCTCAAATTAATGCAGATTTCTTAAAAGCATTTTATTTTTCCATATTTCTGTACGCTTTATTTTGGTTTATAGTTTACGCTTTAATAATCCGTGCTTATAAAATGCTATAAGGTTCACGGTTCCAAAATACAATTAAATTGTTAAACTATGCCATTCTATAGTGTACTAGGTGAAAAGAAGATATCCGGGGCGTTTTTTTAATTGTTAATTTCTTCGCATGTATCTAAAAACGTCCATACTGAGTTAGGATATATTTAATTAAAGTTGGTTTGAAGAAGAAGAATAGTATAATCCTTTTAATTTCTTTCCGAAAATATGATGGCGAAGGGAAGTTTCCCATATATCTTGTAAGATTCCTGCCTTTACGTTAAAGCTGAAAATGAGGAACCTTAAGAACTGATAAGCGAATAATCGCTTAGTTCAGTGAAGAGAGAGAGCAGAAAGAGCAGAACTCAAGACTCAAATTCTTTATTATTCAAAATAAAATTAACAGACGATTCCTTCTTGGAGTTTACAATAAAGCCTCCATTTGGGCTTGAACTTAGGAATACTAAGAAGTCTAATGTTAGTCTAATGTTAGTCTTTCAGAAGAACTAGAGAGAAAAAAAAATTCTCACAAACATGTAAACCCTCGATTCCAAAGTTTTCAAAAATTAAAAATAAAAACATTTTGCTATGTAAGGATCTTAAGTTTTACTAACGTTTATTTTATTTTAAATCTTTACTATCACTTCTTATTTTCTACTTCCGGCCAGAATTAAAAGCGTTAACTTATTTATGCAAAATTTGTCTGGCGAACGCCAAGTACTTAAGATGTGGCTTTTTGCCAAGCGAGAGAGAGAGGAAGGAGTTAGTCGAAGCAGGCCGCTTACCTTAGAAGTTTTACTCAGTTGCTGGTTGCCTTCCAGGCCAGAGGTTTAATCCTCGTGATAATTTTTAAACGTATTGTAGTGTTAACAGTTCTCTGTACTACATACGGCTTCCTGTTAATATAAGGCCAATCTTCCACGTTTATTATTCCAAAGTTAAGTTAGAGTTTAGTTAAATATTTTTATATTCTTACGTTTAGACCACAAGTAGTGGGTCTTTGTATTCCGAAGTACGGAAATTATTGTAAAGAGAGAAAAATAAAGGGTTTTGTATACCCTTCTTGTGTATCCTGTCTACTTCCCACAGTTATTGAACATAGCTTTAGTAAGCTCTCTGTTCCGAGTCAGGTCCTTGCATGTTCCCGAAGAAAGTAAGACGGAACATTGAACCTGATAGTGGCGCCCAACGAAGAAGAATAACCATGGCCGAGTTTCAAGAAGAACCTGTGCTGCCTGCAGAAGCGGCTCAGAATCCAGAAATGCCAGCTGCCGCCCTGGAAAGGATTTGGTTACATCGTCCAGACCATGCGCGCTTCGATGAAACCAGAAGCAACATTTAATGGAAACTCACCGGTAACCAGTTTTTTGGAAAAATTGGATGACCACTTCATGCTCTACCCCGTGCACGAATTTCAAAAAGTTACCTTAGCTACCAGCGCTTTGAGGGGCCAAGCGCTTAATTGGTTCAAATGTATAGGCAGAAGTCTCTTGGGTCAAGCAGGAAGTCCCACCTATACTTACGAGAATTTCAAGACTGCCCTAGTAAAAGCCTTCCCTGTCGTAAGGGATCGTGCGAAACTAGAAACGGAACTTTTCAGCATATATCAGCAAAGAATCGAAAATCTCTCAAGCTTTATTTTAAGAAAAATTCACGTCTTCAAACTCTTGTATGGAAACCGTCCGGATCCTGAGATAATTCAAGTGATTTTGCCGAGGTTACTGCCCCAAGTGCAAGACTTTATTGAATTAAGAAATCCGACTACACTGGAAAAGTTATTTGAGCTAGCAATCCAGTTTGAAAGTAGAAGAACGGCGGACATTGAAAGAAGACGCCAATATCAACAGCGAAACCAATTTGGTGCGCCAAGACTACAGCAAACTCAAGCACACGGCTACAGAAGCAAAGTGAATCAGTGGGCAAGGAAACCCGAGCAGTCAAAAACAGCCGGCGAACGTCGACAGTTCAATAGCAATCCAGGAAAAAAGTCTCAAGGCCAGTGGAAAAAGAAGGAAATGAAAAATAATTTAAACTAAAACGGATTTCTGCTGACGGGAGGGTGCGGAAATCCGAAGGCCACGAAAACCCCTCTTCCTTCAAGTTAAATACAGTAATGGTGAAAAATTTGACTCTTCCGAAGATTGAAGTGTTGGTGAATAATATCCCAGCCACCGCACTCCTGGATACAGGCGCGCAGTGTTCCTGTGTGGCAGAAGATTTTTTTAGGAAGTATTTTCGTAAATATCGCATATATAATTCGGATAATACGACAGTGTTAGCTGCGCAAGGAGAAAGATGTAAGTGTATAGGTAAATTACCGCTGTATGTCCGTATCAAGGACGAACAAGTAAAGGTTATGTTTTTCATAGTAAAGAATCTGCAAGCACATATTATCTTAGGAATAGATTTTCTTTCAGAGGCACAAGCAACGCTGGATTTTAATGAAGCGTCCCTTAAGCTGACAATGAAACCAGTTCGTGAAGAAAAGGCTGAACCGCCGATGTTAAACCTTGACCACCTGCCTAATGAAGAGCAACGAAGAATCCGACAAGTGGTAAGTGAATTTGCTTCGTTATTTAGTGATATTCCAGGATTTACTCAGGTTACTAACCATAGTATTGACACCGGAGATTCAATGCCAGTTCGCCACAAAGCATACCGGTATGATAAGAATAAGGAAAAAATTATAGAATGGCATATCACCGATAAGCTACGTAAAAAGATCATAACGCACATCTCAAGTAGTTATGCTAGCCCGGTGGTTTTATGTAAGAAAAATAATGACTATCCATTGACACATCCAAAAAGGTGGAGATTCGCAATTGACTACCGTAAATTAAACACCATAACTAAATATCCGGTATATCCGTTACCTATTATTGAAGAAATTCTAAGGAACATAACATCCACCAAATATATGACGACTTTAGACTTAACGACTGGTTATTTTCAAATAGGGGTTAGGCCTGAGGACGTGCCTAAGACTGCTTTTATAACCAAGTCTGGCACTTATGCATTTCTGCGTATGCCGTTTGGCCTTTCAGGGGCACCGGCAACATTTCAGCGATGTATGGACATTGTGTTAAGGCCTGTTCTTGGAAAGTCCACATTTATCTATTTAGACGATATCATTATTACTAGTGATAATCTCGACCAACATGTACAGGATTTAAGACAGGTGTTTTCTTTATTAAATGAGGCCGGTCTAAAAGTTAATGTCGAAAAGTGCAAATTTGCAGCCCCTGAATTAAAATATTTAGGTTACAAAATATCTCAGAAAGGAATCGAGACAGACGAATCAAAAATAATCGCTGTACAAAAGTATCCGACTCCAAACACGGCGAAGAAGCTCTCTTCTTTTCTAGGACTTTGTTCATATTATAGGTCCTTTATAAAAGATTTTGCAGCTATTGCTGAACCATTGTTAAAATTAAAAAGGAAAAAGGCAAGATTCTCGTGGACGGCCGAAGCCAATAGTGCTTTCGAAAAATTAAAACAAGCATTAACGCAAGCCCCTGTGTTGAAATTTCCTGAAAAGGATGAGAATTTAGAAATTTCAGCGGATGCTTCGGATTATGCGGTAGGAGCGGTACTTTCGCAAAATCAGCAGCCCGTGGCATTTTTTAGCCGAACTTTAAATCAAACACAAAGAAACTATTCCGCGACCGAGAGAGAGGCACTTGCAGTTCTGTTAGCAGTGCAAAAGTTCCGATTCTATTTTGGAAAGGCGCCAATAACAGTGTACTCTGATCACGCGGCGGTAACTAGATTGTACTCAGGGAAAAACTTATCCCCAAGGTTAATAAGACGGGCACTCAAGCTACAAGAATATAATCTGGTAATCAAGCATACCCCCGGAAAGGAAAATATCGTAGCAGATGCCCTATCCAGAATTAAAATAGATGAAGAAGGTAATACTGTAAAGGTGGCAATGCTCACAGCATGTACAATAAATTCCCGAGAAACTGTAATAACCGAACTGGGTAAGGATCCTGAGTTTGGAAGATTTTTAATAATAAAGCACTTAAATTTGAGTGGTAACCACAATATGTGCATTAAAAGAGCTCAAATTCCTGTCAGTTAACCTATATATATTGAAAAAAAGCTTTTTATATAATTCATTATTTTTATTTAAGACATCTTCTAGTCAGTATCGGAAGTCAGTTTGAAAAAAAGCCAGGATCCGCTACAGGTGAGGTAAAATAGGCTCTACTCTTATATGCGCCCTAAGGTTGCCAAATGCGGCGATATGTGTTGTGCGCTGGTTTTTGGCACGATTGCGCGTTCTGTTCTGCGGGTGATGTTGGTTTCTGTGGCAACCCTTTTTACGTGGAAACTTGGATATGCTAATTGGTTCGTGTAGTAATTAAGTGATTTATAACGTGTTGGCAAAATTTTAGTCGCGTGCCTGGTACAACTATTTTTTTCGGGTGGCTGGAAATTTTACAAGTATTTAGAAGAAGGTTTTTGAACATTTATTGGTGAAATATAGTATCGATTTTGTGGATAGTGAGTCTGGCTGTCATATAAATACGATAGAGATTACGTGGCGGCGTGTTAAAGCGACGTTGCCGACTTATAATCGGAAATGCGATTTGGAGTTTTATTTGGTGGTTTATATACTTTTTCATCGTTGTTCTGAAAAGGGAGAAGATGCTTTTAACAAATTTGGGGTGAAATTGTTTTGGTGATGTTTGAAATTGGTATTTCTGTTGTTCGAAGAAGCATTTATTTATGGTAAGTGCATTTTGTTTTATTCTTGTTCTTATTTAGTAGAATGTTACGTTCATTGTTTTTATAGTATGAATTTCTGTCGTTATTGTTGTTTTTTTAATTGTTTGAAATTTATTTTAGTTATTTTAGTTTATTTTGTTGATTAGTGCGCAATGCCTAGATTGTGCAATTCGTAGATGTTTTTTAAAGTTTCAACAGAATGCTGTATACACGATATTCTTGAAATTTATTGTTGTGTAGTTCATTTATTAAAGCGAGGTGTGCGTAGTTCGTAGATTCCTTCGCTGCCTAGATTGTGCAATTCGTAGATTTTTTTTAAAGTTTAAACAGAAAGCTGTGTGTATGGTATTCTTTGAAATTTATTGTTTTTTGTTAATTTATTTAAGCTAGGTATGCGTAGTTCGTAGATTCCTTCGCTGCATAGATTGCGTAATTCTATGATTTTTTTTCAAGTTAAAACATATCACAATGTACATGGATTCTTATATCGAATATTTTTGGTTAGAAACTTCACGTTTTTGCTATCTAATTTTTTTTTTTTTTTTTTTAAATTTTTTTTCTGTTTCGGATTTTTAGCTTAAATTGTGTGTTCAAAACGTGGTTTTTGCAGACATTTTAGGCTAAAAGTTCGAAATGTAGACAAAAAATTTAGGAAGTAATATGGCGGCGTGAAGTTTCTCCCCAAAACTGTTTGGCGAGAAATTTATCGCCGCATATGGCGACCTAAGGGTGCATATAAGAGTAGTTCCGTCGCTTTTAACTGAGTTTCTACACTCTATAACGTATTTCTCCCGCCTTCCTAGCATGCCTTCGGAGTGTGGTGGTCAGCATGCTGGGCCGGTATTCCAGAGGTCCGTTGTTCGATTCTCGGCGAAGGCGTTTGCTCATTTTTCATCTTGCTTGCTTCTAAAAATACCTAATATCTCTACAACTCCATTTTTTTTTCAACATGAATCACAGATTTAAGGTTTCAAGTTATCTACATGAAAAATGGAATCCCACTCAGAAACCAGCTCTCTTATTTCAGTCTTGTAGTTCTGATGGGCAGAAAATATATACTCTGATGAATAACTTTCATGATTTTAAGAACATATAAAGCTTTCGATTTGAACCAAAAAACTGTATAATTAATGGAATATCAAGTTCCTTTTTTTTCCATTGTGGAATGAATTGCTTCTTTTTGTTACTTAAAAAAATAGATTATTTTAATCACACTACTCTTATAGGAAATGTTGGCAAGTTTGTTTATTTTAATAAAGAGTTTTTATTTAATCTTTTGTCCCGTTCCTTTTATCTTGTACTCGACGTACTACTTGAGAAGAATTAAATAAATTCTGTATTATATGCCCGGAAGTTAAGTTAGATTAATCTTAAAGAAGTTAATGTTTGACTAAAGCTTAATTGCAGGGAGAGATTGTTAAGTGAAAGTTAATAGCGTTGCTTTGTTCACATAGATTTGAATTTTGGAGTTCCTTTTTGTATACCCACTAATTTTGGTCTTTCTTTAATTTTGGTCTGTTATCCTGCGACTGCTTATTTATTGCTTTATTTAGTTATTTACTGCTTTATTTAAATTCGTAAACTTTAGATGGATTTACAATAAGTTATTCATTTGCTAAAGTTGAGTTCATTTTCGTGAAAGGATAACTCAGCGAAAGAGTGGTAATGGATTGAATAATGTACGCATAAATAAATCAAGGTGACAGGAACACTCTTTGCATGTTATATCACATACCATGATATTCACTTCGTTTGTTTCTGTACTTCTTAAACCATATGTTCTCTAATGTGGGCCACCGCTCCATAAGAGGTCATTTGTCGGAGACATTAAATATGGTAATTATTATTTTTATGTAAATAGTGAAACGTAAACGTATATTCAGAAGAAAAAAGAAAGGTGCATATATATACGGCGTATATATCTGTTTACTGTTTTTAAAATGCAATCCCATTTTTTTTTTTTTCAAAGAACGGAACGAAATAATTTTTTTAAAACAGATAAAATATCTTCTAGAGTACTAGTTTCAGTAATAGCATTACAAGTGAGCCTGAAACATTAATATTTGTTTTAAAAAGAGAATAAATTATTTTACACAAAAAAAGAAAGAATTGGAAATCCTCAGTTTCTTAATAAAGTCAACATAAATGATCTATACTGAAGTTCCCTGCTTGATTTAAGACTAGACGTACATAGCATATAATTTAAAAACATGCATAACATTAATTTTGAAAATCCTCTCCAAAGAGTAAGTCAAACAGCAGCCGAGTAGTTGTCCCTGAATACTACTAATTTACTCCAGGGTTCGAGTCCCGGCGAACGGTCTGGTTGCACTTGCGGTTTTTCCCATGTGTAACATGCATACCTGCCAGTTTTCCCTACAGAGCCCTCCACGAAGACATGCCTTCCCTTAGGCAGATAGCCCTCGAGTGCTTTGTTGTTATTAAAAACCCAAACTAATTTTCTGTCATTGCCAAATAGCACGAAAACCATTTTCTTATAATCTTAATCCATTAGCAGATATTTAAAATTTTTCAATAAATAAGTCTTGAAATTCAACTTCTGCTATTCCACAGTTTGAAAATGAATATTCATAACATCTCATTTCAGCATTATCGTTTCTTGCCCGACGACCGGCATATAACGCGTGATCAAAAGCCTTCACCTGATGACATATTAGTAATCAGAAACGAAACTGCATAATATGTTAAATAAAAGAATACATTTATTTTTTCCTCTAAAACATTCTTACCGTATGCAGAAAATTTCATCATTATTGAATTTATGTTGTAAAAGTAAATAATTATATTTTCTCAGAACTATATGATAGAGTTAAACGTTTTTTCCTGTGAATAGTGTAGGGCTATTTAAAATAGCTGACGGGACTTCCAATGTCTTCAATCTTAAAATCGCTAGTAGCAAAACCTAATACGTGAAATGAAGGAAAACTTAAACAAGTTATTACTTTAATGTATTCTTTGTGACCTTTTAGCTACCTTAGCAATAGTAACAGAATAAACGAATTTTTGCCGTTGTTTGTTAGAGCATACCGATTGTTACTCCACCTCCACTAGCCATTACATTGTTCTAAATTGCTGTCATTTGTTATTGTAGCCAACACACTTAACAACGTAACTTTTGAGCTTATGGAAGTTTTGAGTTGCACTGATAACAGTATCCTTAACATACAAGCATAAAGTTTATGTTAGTCTAATGTTAAAGTCTAATGTTTTATGTTTTCTTTAAGTGTTTTTAGTTGTTCCATTTTAATTGTTCCATAGCCTGTATAATCTGTATGGAATCAGCAATACATTTTCATCGTTTTGACGCAGACGAACATCTCTAATGCTGTAGAGACATTAGGTATTTTTTTAGAAACAGGAGTCATGAAAAATATGCAATGCCTTCGCCGAGAATTGAACCACGGATCTCTGGAATACGCGCCCAGCGTGCAGACCACCACACCACGAAGGCATGCCAAGAAGGTGGGAGAAATACCTTATAATGTAATAAATTGATAATTTGAAGAATTGCCGCATTCTTTAAGCGTGCAGTCGTGGAGAATGTTAGCACCCCAGCTGGTGAGTGATACGAATCTCTACCAGCACATAAACTAAAAGTTGTTAACTTTTAGAAAATGAAATATAACCTTTAAACACCACTTTAAGCCTTCTCAAGATTACAGTCATGAGTTAGAGCATCCTTTGACCTCTAGAGACCTTCGAGCTGAAAGTACTGTGAAAAGATATTAGACTACCTTTTTTATGTCTTCATCTGTAATTAAATAGAGGTGATGTTGTTTCCAGTTACTCGAATCTTAGATAGTTTTCTCTTTATGAAGTTAGTCTTAATTATTCTGAAATATTAATGATTATAGCCTTATTTTAAAAAGCAAATTATTCTCTTTAGCATAAAATAGTGCTTTGTAAAGATGATTGGCATAATTAAAAGTATGTATTAAAGAAGACAGCCCACCAGCGGCCGAGCGGTAACGTCGCTGAACACTGGTAATCCGAGGTTCGAATCCCGCGAACGGGCTGGCTGTATGGGTGTTTTCGTGGTTTTCCCCATGTGTAACATGTATACGAGCCAGTTTCCCTTAAAAAGTCCTCCACGAAGGCATCCCTCCCTTAAGGCAGATAGCCCTCGAGTGCTTTGCCGTAATCTAATAAACTAAAAAAACCAAAACCATAAAAGAGTAAGACAAAAATAACAACGTCTCTAGCCTTATAAAAATTCCATAGCGATGAACAAAAAGCACGTGTAAGAATGAACTACTACGCTAGATCTATGCAAATTCTTTAAGAAATGAATGCAAGTCGCTTATCGAGTTGCAGTTTTAGGAAAGCATCTTTTCTCCAAATAACTTTGACATGTTTAATTAAGAATTTTAAAATAAAACATTTTTGCTCTAGAAGGAAATGACTGCACTGAAAATAATTAAGACTCCTAATTTTATTATGAATTTATTACAAACTAATATTAACTATAATTGAGAGAAAAATTTATATATTAAAATAAGTAGATTCCAAAATGTTTGATCTAAAAATAATCCTTTTATCTGCTTGTGTTTTCCTTTTTGTCTCATTAGGAGTGTCCTAATGGCATGGTCAGGGAGGAGACCTTTAAAGGCATATATGCTCAATACTTTCCGAAAGGAGCTGAAACTGCACAATATGCCCACTATGTGTTCAACTCTTTCGACCATGACAACACAGGAGCGATAACTTTCACTGTAAGTACGTTTCACTTTTCGGGCTCTAATGAGTTTGAGAATTTAATTAAGTAAAACAAGTTTCAATCTACAGAATGTTAAAAAGGGAGGGCTAAAGGCTTTATTTGCTTAAATATTGACGTTACACGTATACTTCTAATTTTCCATATACAGAAAGGTCATAAAAAACTTCTCCGATATATGAAACCCTTGAGGCCTATCCGCTCAACCAATCGAAATGAAATTTCAGATGTTATTATTTGAATTGTTTGATTATTTGAAGGTATCCTCGAGATTGTAATGATTTAAACCTCTAGAGCTCTCACGGTCAAAGGCAATATCCACTTTTTTTCCTGCGTATATTGATCAGAACACTGTAAAACTACAAATGGCGCAATGTGTGATGAAAATTGTCAGCGTAAAATATTTCCAAAGAAGAGAACTGTAAAGGACAACTGACGACACAAGAGAAGGAAGGGAAAAAACTTTTATTGGAATTACAAATTTTCAATGTGCCCACATCTGCAGAAGATAAGGCATTGCATGTGGGATATTGTTGATAACAATGACGAATGTAACATTGCAGGAGGAATCTGCATAACTTCAAGTTTTATGGCATCTTTCAATTCTGATGAATCTCGTGGATTTGATGTGTACACCTTAGATTTCTAAATAGCTCCAGAACCAGAAATCCATCTGAGCGAGATCAGCGGGTCGTGGTGGTTGCGAAACTGCAAAGTTATGGGAGATGACTGTATCTCCAAACTGCTGTTCAGGCTCTTACAAAACACATATATAGCTATGAGAGGAAAAGCACCATTATGGCTTCCATCCAGCTTCGTGTAGAGGGGCTAGTGCCACATCGTCAGAATTTTTGTCAGCACAATGAATGTAGTTCTTTGACTTTATGCTCCCAATTATGTGAAAATGCGTCTCATCCATCCATAATATCCGCTATCTGGTGAGAAATGATGATCTCGTTTTTGCAAATGTTTTTTGCCGGCAATTTTTGTCACACGTGTATAGCTTTTTAATGCGCTGATCAATTTGCGCCGGAAAAAAAGTCGGTGTTGGCTCTCGAAACGTTTTCACTCTAACCCTAACCGTGGGCGTTCTATTGTTTTAAATTATCACAATCTCGAGCTCATACCTTCAAATAACGATATCTGAAATTTCATTTCGACTGGTTGAGTTGACAGGCCGCTAGGGTGTCGTATAATCGGGGAAGGTTTTCATGATCACTCTGCATTTCCAGATTTATTTAAAATAAGGTTGAGAATTTTATGAAAGTAGTACCAACACTGTGGGTGGAAGATTTCGGCAAATATATAATATTATTACATTTTATCCTCTTATCATGTAAAAAAATTCCGGATTTTCTTATCATGAGGCATCCCGCTACCGGTATAAATTTAACGATCAGTTTGAAAGCACCAGGGCAATCTGTAAGCATACAGGTGCATTCACGATGGCTCAAAAATAGATGGCAAAGTGGATTCAGCGTCGGTGATATATGTGCTCTATCAACTTAATAAAATCACATGGGAAATATCCCAGTTTCCATAGAATAGTGTATTACAATCCATAATAGTCGCTAAAAGTGCTATAACGCAAGCAATCAACAATCAGTTTTTAACACTTAAAAAATTTTCAGACTGCGTCTCGGCTCTTCACCTTCGTCTGAACAAGAAATATAAATGCCCAATAGTGAAAGAACTGTTCACTACCTTCTGAAATAACCATCAATTAAATATCTGCATTAAAAGTGCCGAAGCTCATGCAGGCAATACAATGAAATGAATCTACTGTCTAAATAATCAGCATCAAACCGAATAACTAGTTAATAATCAGCCTAAAGTATCAAGGCAACAACCCTCATCCAAGTCTCAAATTTCCTATAAAATAAACATGCTTTCAAAAGATGTTTAGCAAATGAAAAGTGTTGTGGTTTGGTAATTACAGCAAGCACCCGAGGGCTATCTGCCTAAGGGCAGGGACATCTTCGTGGAGGACTTTCTAAGGAAAGTTGGCAAGTATCCATGTTACAGGTTGGAAAATCACGAAAACGTCCATGCAACCAGACTGTTCGCCGTTTTCTAACCTTGGACCGAACTACCAACGTTCAGGGACTTTACAGCTGGATGGCTGGTGGGCCGCAAATGAAGTGAGATACAATCTTCTAAGAAAGACTATGAATTTTGTGCTCTGTAGACAAAGAAAGAGAAAGCATCAACTTAAAACTAAACTAATATATAACTAAATGGGTCATGGCCCTTTTCCGACATACATTTCTATAAGAACTGTTTCAGATAGTGATAGATGTACGTGAAGAAAAGCGAAAATTTGGATTACGATGTCTTAACGCGTTGAAGATCAATAACACAGCAAACTCCTTACGTCATAGCTAAGACCCTTCACGAGCTATCTGGTGAGAACCAATTACATGAGTCATAAAATCATTATTTTAATGACATGGCTCCAACCGTATGGAACGCACTTTGTCACCCACAGAGGAAAATGTTGGTATCTTTAAGGATACAAAATTCTAAATGTGTAATGTATATTATCGATATCAAACACTAAATGCGTTCTATGAATTTTAAGGTTACGCACTGTACTTTGCTTATATAAAAGCAGTATGGGAGAACTAGTAATCTACTTCCTATTTGGAACGTTGTAAATATTCCTGCTTATAATATCTATCTTTTAAAATAAGTATTTTAATAAACACAAAGTGAAAGAGAATAACGCACTTTAAGCTTTCTGTTGACTGCCTGCTTTGAAAACATCGTTATTTTAAGACAGCACATTTAATTTAATAGTAGCCGATAATAAACTTTCACGCATGTAACTTTCTGGAGAAAATTGTTTGGCGCTTGTTCTCCTGTAACACAAAAGATCCGAAATTTCACTTAGTGACATACTCATCCGCAGAGCAATGCATAAATAATATTTTCATATAGCCAACTGCGGATTTAATAGCGAGTGTTGCTTTGCTCAGCACGGAATCAGGCACTGAACACTGGTGGTTCGCTATGGTGTTTGAATCCCGGTGAACGAGCTGGCTGCATGGGCGTTTTCGTGGTTTTCTTCCATGTGTAACATCGATATGAGCCAGCTTTCCTTAGAGATAACCCTCAAGTACTTTGACATAGTCAAATATACCAGCCAAACCAACCGAAATCAATGATTGCCAAAACCGAGCAATTCCTTTTCAGTCTTTCAATATGGGAAAAAAAATCATTAGTTCCTGTGGAAGGTACTTAAAAGTAATCTAAGTCAATAAATTTGTTTTCGAATATCCCCGCTGATTTAAAGCTTGAATACATGAAACTTCTTTTACTTTGTTTATTAGAATGTAATGAACATTTGAAACTTTTCCGTTTTAAGACAACACGTGGTAAACAGTTTTCTGCAGAAAGATTTATGCACCAAAACTGCTTATTGGCTATCGTTAAATTATATGTGATGTTTTTAATCTGTTATAAGGCCCACCAGTGGCAGAGCGATAAAGTCGCTGAGCAGTGGTAGTTCTGTCTGGGGTTCGAATTCCAGCAAACGAGCTAGCTGCATAGGCGTCTTCGTGGTTTTCCTCATGTGTAACGTAGATACGAGCCAGCTTGTATTAGAAAGTACTTCACCAAGATATCCCTCCCCTTAGGCAGATAGCCCTCGAATGATTTGCATAACTAAATAAACCAAACTAAATCTTATCTTTTATAATAATGTTCTTGTTTTTAAAGCATTATCAACAGAAAGTTTTCAAAGTGTATCCTTCTATTTATTTCTCTGTTTATTGAAACTATAACTAACTAAAGGCAGACATATATTTCTTATTCTTTATTTAGAAACCTTTTATACAACATTCGAAATGAGGTGAAAACGAAAATATGTTTTCTCGCTGGAAGTATTAATTTGTTGGCGCATATATATTTGTAGAAGAAAGCATCTGGCGGGAGTTGTACTGAAATGAAGCAGATCTGAAATAATATGTATTCCTTGTTCTTATCATAAAATATGTCACCAGTTTCATGACAAGTATGTACTTAAAACAATTTTATTTCTTTACTAGTCAATAATAACTAGCCCACAGGAAAACATAATATTATCTGAAGGTCATATTAACTAATCCCTAGAATTTTCGATTATTCTCATCTTTTATGAATTTGACATGTGCGAAATTTTACTATCGCTACACCTATGAAATCTGAAATTGTTAGATGCATATTTCGCGTATTAACAGTTTTGCCCCTCTTACTCATATAATCCCCCAGGGGGTCGACGTAGAGAACTCTGGGAAGCTATTTGGCTAGGATCTGTACCTAGGCAGTCTCGGCCACGGGGGTACAAAATTTATGAACTTGGTGGTTCTGAAGGCTCTGGGAAAGGTCACTTATTGGCCGGCCCCGGAGTCTGGCACGTCCTAGCGCGGCGTGGTACTAGTAACCTGGGGTTCTCCCCCGGGGTCGCTGGGTAATGTCCCGCTGCGACGGGCTCGCCCAAGCGACTGGTAGGAGCATTAGACGACCGGTGCTGCCTGGGGTGCGTCCCCAGGTGGTGCGCTGCTCTCCTGGAGGGTAATAGTGGAGGTTGAACCACTACGACGTGCCCAAAGGGGGAGTGGACCCGGAATGAGATTGAGTTCTCGATACGGGGAATGCCTTAATCTTCTTCTTCTTCTTACTCATATAATCCCCCCGGGGGTCGACGTAGAGAACTCTGGGAAGCTATTTGGCTAGGATCTGTACCTAGGCAGTCTCGGCCACGGGGGTATAAAATTTATGAACTTGGTAGTTCTGATGGCCCTGGGATAGGTCACTTATAGGCCGGCCTCGGGGTCTGGCACGTCCCAGCGCGGCGTGGCACTAGTAGCCCGGGGGGTAACATCCTCGGATTTGCTGGGTAATGTCCCACTGCGACGGGCAGCCCTAGCGACTGGTAGGTAGCAAATTAACGACCAGTGCCGTCTGGGAGATTTCTCCTGAGCGGTGCGCCTCTCTCTCTGAGGGTCAGAGCGGAGGTTGAACCTCCGCACCTGGTTCTATGGAGTGGGGGGATCTGCATTGTGATCAGTTTCACGGAGAAGGGAATGCCCAAAGGTTGTTGTTACTCATATAACGGCAAATATTAGAATACTGTAGAATCATTCTGTTAACACAACAGAAAAACTTTTATATTGTTAAGTGCTTATTATTTCTCACCTAATTTTACTTTTCTTTATTTTTTATTCTAGGATTTTGTAATTGGCCTTTCTGTTCTAGCAAGAGGATCTTTACAAGAGAAACTCCGTTGGGCGTTCAGCTTATATGATATAAACGGTGACGGCTACATCACGAAAGATGAAATGTCTAGAATCGTACAATCAATTTATGAACTTATGGGTAAAGCAGTGGAACCTATGATTGAAGACCACACAACAAGAGATCATGTTGATAGGGTCTTTCAGGTGAGATTTTCTGAAAACTTCTGTATTGTAGTAGTATTTAAATTCCTATATTGTAGTAGTATTTAATATATTTGAACGCCTTCAAGCATGAAGTGAAAACTTCCCATTTTTTCAAAGCCAAAAAATATGCATTGTGTAAATTTGTAAGGTCAACTGAAAGTGAGCCAGCTTTGTGTGCGACCAAAACGTTTGGTTCAATGGAGTTCGAGTTTTTATTAAGACAGGATGATCTGTCAGGTCTGTATTTAAAGATGCAGAAGAATCAGAATTACATTGGTTTAAATGGAGGCCTGCATTACAATGGAGGAGCCTCCAAAGGAAAAGCATAGAGTAGTTATGTTTATGATAACTGGAGGCATTTTACAGTACCATATTTATTATTGCATCTTTGCTTTTTATGATAAGTGTTACATTTTACTGGAGCCCATAAGTGTTACAGTATGTACTTTAAATAAGCATGAGAGAACTGCACATATGTCTAGAGACTAGAACAAAGCCATTGGGATATCTAGCATAGGTCAATATTTTGATTATATTAGTTGGCTAAATGGCTAAAACTTGATGAGTTGGTTGTAGGCGCGAGCATCGTCAGATATGAATGCACATTACTCATGAAAATCTTCAGTCAACAATTTAATCTCTGTTTTGCAGTAATTTTAATTGTGCTGCAAGGTTGCGTTCAAACCAACGAAGTTCATTTTTTATGGTAACGAGTATTACATATATACTTCAGCAACAGACATAGTAGACAGCTTATGTGCTGCAAAGATACTTTCAGATCAAAATGAAAAACAAAAGGCATGAAATCCAATCCTAGACTGCATTCGCGCTTTTTTTTTATTTTTGTGTACATATGTATAAATATATATGAATTACTGCTCGTAATTACAGCGAGCAAAGTCAGAATCTTGGTATTACATAATCTTACCCAATGTTGCGTATTCGATGCCATAAATGATGATGATATAAGCCATAAATGCGCAGGCATTTGGCTTGGATTGGCCTTAGTCACGTAAACATCATAAAACTTTTCGGGAGTTAATATGGAGCTTAGATAACTAATAAAAGTAGATAGGAAAGACTTACAGCAGAACAAGTTTCAGGAAAAGTAAGCAGAAAAAGCGAAATAATAGTCTTACAAAGAATAAATGGAAATGTTTCTAATTTTTGACTTTGTCGGTTAAAATTCTTGTAAACATATAATTTTCGTATACGTGTAGTTTAGAAACTGTATTATTTATCATAAATACTAAATAAATTCATATCAAACTTCACACATTTTAAAGGTATTCCAAAGATTCCTCCATATTTTTTTTAGCCCGAAGGACGTTAGCCCAGAAGGGATATTAATTTCGATTTTGTATTTTGCGTCGAAAACTTTAAATGTCCGTTTCACTTTTCAGATTGTTTCAAATATTGTCTTCCTGTAACACATAACACAGGCTTTGTAACACTCCAGAAGCGATTAAACACATTTTAAACAGATGTCTTCATGTCTTATTTCGTTTAACACTATTGCATACAGCGCCATTTTTGCCCTGGTGGAAAGTTTTTTTACTTTTTTCCCTCGGAAAATAAATTCCTATGACCTCCTTTATACGATTACCAAGTTTGATAGCATTTGGTCCAGTAGTTTTCTTTTTATGACCATTTCAAAGTGTAACTTTAATTATAAACCACCCTGTATATACATTTACGCAGATTCTTCATTATTTAATTTCTTTAAATCTAATACAGTGTTCTAATATTTGGTGGCAACAATTTAAAAAGTGATTCGCCGTTTATACTGAATCAACGCAAAATGCCAAAACGAAATTAATTGCCCTTCTGGGAAAATTGCCCCTTTGGGGTAATAATTAACAACACATAAATAAAAATGATTCCATTGAGTTAATTTACTAACCTATTGAATTTTTAATTCCATTTAATTTAAATTGTTTCGAGTGTTCCAAAACAAAAGCTATGGCCGTTTTCATGAGTCATGTACACTATTAATTGTGCGCAGCTTGGCCAAAAGATAATTATCACTTTTATTAGACAGGCCTCCACCATGCATCTGCTAGACAACATGCAAGCATTTGCGGTGTGGTACTCCGCATGTTGCGTAGGATCTCTAGCCTAGTATGATTTAGTTGTTTGAGTATTAGTGCTGTCTGCACTACAGTAGATATTATGGCAAAAGTGGCAGATCGCTTGTTACATCAATACCCTTTTTCATCATTGAAATCTGCGTTTAGGAAACCCCCAAACCGAGTTGCTACTATATTAAGACTTCAGTGTTTTAGGAATTGGGTATCATTTTCTTCAAGATTGTGATTCATAAACAAATTTCTTTAAGTGATTTCATCCCTTAACGACCTGCCCTAATTCCTTTCCTTTTTCGATATCATTAGGAATGAATGGGCAAAAGTCTCGGAATATATATATTACTTAAAAGTACGCATTCAGGAGGAATGCGTTTAAGATGCTTAAACTTTCGGCGGGTGCGAGATTAAGCAATTTAAGCAATTCTTCTTCTCAAATACGCTTGATATCTGTGAGTCGTAAATTCGTATTGCGAGCTGTGTTCATTTTCGGCCACTGTTGTGCGTAACTGGAATGCGAACTTAGTTCGTTGATGACCATCAAAAGGTACATATCTGCTACAGCCCTGAAGGCACCATGTGATTGACTGTATTTTATTTGTGCACATATCACACGCAGGCTTCAATTTTAAGTGTCGCCTCACAAAATTATCATGCAGCGTTATGTGCCGTTCTGTGCAAGCGTGTGTGTATATATATATATATGTGTGTGTAATTATGCAGAGTGTCCCTTAAGTCTATATCAGTTAAAACGAAAATCTTACAAATACGGAATATAGTTAAAAATAGCTACCGTTAAGCTGAACGGTAGCTACCGTTAGCTACCGTTAAGCTATAATTAAAAATAGTTACCGTTAAGCTGAATGTGCAGTTGAAGAATAATTCTTCACTTCTGTGGCAATTTATGGATATACTCATGGAAGTGTGTTAATAACTGTCTCTAGTGTGTATTTTTAAGTTGGAAGTTGTAGTGAATTCTGACTCCATATGCCAAAGTTTTCAGATTGCTCCAGAAACAAAAAATCAGCGCCACAAGCGTTTTTGTTTCTGGAGACCATTCATCACTATTTAAGCACAAGCAACGGTGATATGAGACCATGCTGTGGGTCCAGATTTACGATTTTCGCGTAATGAAAAATCTGATTTGTATGAAATCTAAATAAATTTCCTTCAAAGTTTAAAGTAAGGCTACTAGAGTATATTCCGATGTTTAAACAAAAAGAAGGCATTCAGCAGGGTTAAAAAAATACGTTAGAAATTTTGAAGAGGTATTTCTTAAGTCCCGTCTACACGAGGAGATGTATTTCCAAACAGTTTCTCTGCAGCCGTCCAACCGGGAGTGTGGTTAACGACGCTGACTGCCGTATCGGAGGGCACGCATTCGAATCCCAGAGAAAGCATGGATGTTTGTAAATGTATGCTATCTCTGTGGCATGGAGACACTTTTAATACGCAGCAAGCATAAGGTCCTCTCGAGAGGCTGCGGTAGGATAAGAGGGGTGGGGACACCCTCGGATCCATCCTACCGAGGTGCTCTTCATCAAAACTGGGGGCGGAACTGAGCAAAGTCTTACTGCCACCTGTATGGTGCTCAAGGCTCTTGCCAAGATGAATTTAGTGGACTTCTTCTGATGCTACTGTTAGACAAGTGAGATAAGTCACAGCAACAACAGTATCTCTGCACTTCCTGGGGCGCCTACGCCAGTCCATCTACGCAAGGAAACATATCTCTGGCGCTTCAGATTCGGAATCGTGAACATTAATCATGGCGGGATACATTATCGGCGGAGAAATATTTGGAGACAGCCAAAATTGCGTGTAGAGATCACGTGCTCGAAAAGCAATAGCGGTATTCTCAGCGTTTAACTGAAAATAGGCGCGAACCACTTGGAGTTTTTGTTATTATTCTAACAAACTTAATTTGTGATGTGATATTTCATCAAGAAGATAACTTCGGATTGATTTCTTTATAAATAGAAAATATTTTCACCTCGATACAAGTGAATTGCTATTGTAAGTTATTAGAGTGATGTATTTTTTACCTCATTTGTTAGCATTAACTAAATCTGCTACAATATTCTTCTTATTTATGGGAATCATTGCATTCTTATGTTCCGAGAAGTCTGGCAAGCAAGAAAAGTTTAATTTATCGTCAGTTTGTACTTGATTATATTTCCGATTTTCTATTGCTAAGGAGTTTTCAATGCTTGGACTAAGTCCAGCTAGCTCGAGGGCTTGGCTCGTTTACCAAAGTATCTAAATTTTCCGTGGACACTGCGGACTGTGAGTTCGAATGCAGCTTAGCTAATTTCTGATTTTTCTAATTAAAAAAAGTATTTTATTGATTATGTAATTAATGGACTTCTGTTAACATACAAATTATTAAAATTTTTACTTGTAACATATCTTAATTTTGCGTTATTTTATTACCTATCATACATAAAATTTTGCATAAATTAGTTACATAATAACTTTATATTAAGTAAATATAATTATTAGATTTTTACGTTATTTATAAAGCTATAAATTTTGTTTTTTCTCTTTCATGTACTTAAAAATGCTTTATTATACAATGTAACTATAAATTATATTTAAAATTAGCAATAGTCCTTAACTCCTCTTTTTAATTTGGGTAATTCCCCTCTATATTATAAAAATAGAAATAAATCTTTCGGGACTGCGTCTTTTCTAGATTAGTCCATACATATGACTTAATGACACTAATGACGTAACTGATTCGGAACTTAAACCGAAGTATTTTCTTAATAAGCTCCCATATTGGATAACTGCGCAGTTTGATTCTACCTCTATTCTCGCTCAGACGCTGCTTGATGCTTTTCTTGTTATCCTGTTTTTATTATTATATTAGATTTTAAAAAATTAGTATTTTATGAAAATGATTAAAATTTTATGGTA